AGAATTTTCATTCAGATCAGGATGTGTTACAGTTTTGCTTTTATTTGAAAATAGGGCATGAAACTGGTCTACTTGTGTATCTCTGCTAGTATGAACAATTCACTGATCAGTTTCACTTTGAAAGAGCAAATTTCGGTTTGTGGTCAGTGCATTACTTTCAAAAAATCTAGTTTTATTTTAAAAACTAAGCTCAAACAAAACTCAAACCCTAAGAAAAGTGAGTAGGCTTGAATTGCAGTAGAAGTTATGACTTGTTATTGGAAGATTTTTGTAAGTCGGAAAGATTGAGAGCTGTTGTTACAAAGGCCCCCACGTAGTTTTCCCCATATATAAGAAAAAATACCTGTCTAGCAGGGAGTGTATTATTTTATCTATTTGAATTTTTGAGGGTGGATATACTCTATATGGATGAGACGTTGAGCTGGGATGTAGCAGATACGTTAGTATTTTAATACTGTCTTATACTAGTGAACTGCTTAAGAAGACCTGTAACAATTGCTCTTCTAGGTCAAATTAAAAGTTTGTCTAGCCTATCAGGACAAGAGGCTGTTGCTGACTACCTGGGCAGGCAGTGTAACATTGAGCTGGTGCATCCTGAAGCCATGCTGTGAAGACCTCTTCACATGAAAGTTCTGTTTCCTTGAGGCTTTCTCCATGCCTGTCCTTTTCAAGGTCTTGCCAGGGTCCCCTTGGCCATCCTATACATTAATGCTTCTAAGATGAGGGTCTTGGTAGGGGAATCCTAAAGACTATAGGCCCGTTGCCATTCCTTAGTTCTTTAGTGTTGTCAGGCAGAGCTTTCCCAGCAGCATCTGCCTGCTGCTTGAGAGCCATATGGGAGGAGCATGTGTTGAAACTCTTGTCCTCAGCAAGCCTTTCCTAGTTCCCATTTTTGGCAGTTGACTCCCTCAACCCCTTCTTTGAAGACAACAGATGAAGTCAAAGAATCAGTTGGACCTTTATATGGTGTTGTTTTTTTCTTTTAAACCTTCCTTTCCCAGGAGAAACTCTGCACAGAGAAATGTTGAAGAGAGAAAAAACAAGAGTGGCACAAACCACTGAAAGAGAATTGTTTTAAAAATAGTATAAGAAGAAGGGAAGATATAGAATTAACTTTTATCTGTGCAGTGTCTGAATTGTCAGTAACAACTGATGTCTGTCTGGCTGTGAATGACCAGATGTTTTCATTTCTTAATGACATTTTGTTTGGTGAAGTGAATGTCATGTTTGTAGTCAGTGATAGAAAAGACAGCCTTTTAAATTGAAATAAAAGCTATTTAATAGTCTAATTATCATTCAGTGATCCTGGTAAGGTGAAATTAGGATGTACTACTGATGCAGAGACATACATTTTACTTTCAGTAAGGAAATCTGAAAATATTTCTAGTATTTCTAATTCCTGGCCAGCTTTAACTTTTTCCTTGTGATGCTGACATCTCTAGCAAAATCTGCAAATGAAAACATGCACTTTTGGTCTTATGTTAACTATTAATTTACTGCCAAAAATAAAGCTGGTATACAGTTGACTGTATATAACAGAGCTTCTAATTTTGTTAATAAAAATGAAGCTCAACTGCAGTTAGTACACATGTACCTGGCAGACGGTTCTGAACTGGTACTTCTAGTCATTAAATAAACCCAGCAACTTGTGCAACAATGGCATTAGCTGAAGTGATGATCTTTTTCAAGTAGCCTTTGGGGAATTCTCCCTAGAGAGTAAAATGGGAGTGTCAGGTCTGTGTGCAGTGTTTAGTTTTATAATTGACTGAAATGACAGATGCGAATCTGTACTGAGTGGCAGATATTAGAGAAATATCTTAAATATGTTACAGCCCTACAGTATCTGATGATGAGATAAATACCTTACCCAGTAATGTCAGGAGCACAATAAGCCTTGAATATCTGGAGCTCTGTGCATCGGAAGGACGTTGGTGCTGGTTTTGACTTTATATTTGGCGCTGGTTGGGTCAAATTTGGGTGTGTTTATGTATGCGTGGACTTATACTGTTATGAAAAAAATAAATCTATGTTGGCTCCATATGGAAATATTAGACGTAGGCAGAAATTTGTCTAGATCTTCCTTCTTAAATATATCAGCAGATTCTTTAATTCTAATGGGCTTACACAGAAGACTTCCATAAATTTTGTAATGAAATTCACAATGTATTTTTTCCCCTCTAAAGGCTTTGAGGAAGCAAGATGCTAAACTAGATGAAACGGAACTCATGAAAAATAAACTTGTGAAATATGAAAGAGAAAAGAACCAAGTAAGATTTTTTTTTTTTTTTTTTCTCCTTTCTTGTTTGGTTTTAAATAAGTGTAGTGTGTCATATGTACAGTATATGTTTCCTTTTTCAGAGAAACCAACAGGATAAAACTTTTACTCTTTAAGATAACAAGGTTGGGCTATTTTATATCGGAGACATTATGAAGGAAAGACAGAAGTTCAGCATAGCTAGATTCAAAGCTCTGTAGTTATAGTGTGTTACTTCTAGCGACATTTCCATACTGCCAGGTGGATAAATTTATAACTTGGGGATTATACTTGATTTTTCTCCTGATTTGTCTCTGAGCTTACACGTAGCCTGCTGTTGCTTATTTGCAACAGCTCCAAGATGTAGCTTCATCCTTGTAAGTAACACATGCTAGTTATTTTGCACCATAGTTATTATTTATTACTCTTGCTGAACTATCTTGCTCTATTTCTATTCATAGAAAACAAGTTTTCATATCTTTCTGTTCTGGCAGGAACGTAGGGCCATATTGTACTTTTTCTAGCTTTTTTCCTCTTATACAGAGCTTAGCCTTTTTGTCGTTACTCTCAAAGTCACCCTCCTTAATGCTAAACCATCTATCTAGTATTCTAAATTGTTACCCTTTCCATTCCATTAATGCTGGTCCTGTTTACTTTGCCCTTTTGTCAGCGTCCCAACATCCTCTTTGAGATTGCTATCTGTGCAATAACAATTTTTGCTGTCAAAATCTGTATTTATTTCCAAGGGGATCTTTGTGATCTTTGAACTATTTATGGTAGAAGTCAGAAAATATTTTTTAGTCTTTGTTTTCTGTTTTGATTTTTTTTTTTTCCTAAATGGTCATCAGTTTGCTGTCTGTTTCTGATGAAACACTTTAAAATTCCCTTAATAATATATTTTTAGCAGAAATTCTAGTTGCATGAAATTTTGGCCAATTCTGGTTTTATGGCATTGTTTGCGGAATATTTCAAATACATCATCTTGTACGACACAGGAAAACCCACAGAATTTACCAATTACCAGTTCTACTAATGCATGTCATCTTTAATCACAGAATCACAGAATGTCAGGGGTTGGAAGGGACCTCTGGAGATCATTGAGTCCAACCTCCCTGCCAGAGTAAGACCATCTAGTCTAGGGCAGGTCACACAGGAACCCATCCAGACGGGTCTTAAAAGTCTCCAAGGAAGGAGACTCCACAACCTCCCTGGGGAGCCTGTTCCAGTGCTCTGGAACCCTTACAGGAAAGAAGTTCTTCCTCATGCTGAGGTGGAACTTCCTGTGCTCCAGCTTGTGTCCATTGCCCCTTGTCCTAAACCAGGGCATAAGTGAGAAGAAGTTGCCCCTTTCTTTTTGACACACAGCCCTCATATATTTATACACATTAATTAGATCCCCTCTAAGTCTTCTCTTCTCCAGACTAGGAAGCCCCAGGTCTCTCAGCCTCTCCTCATAAGGCAGGTGTTCCAGTCCCCCAGTCATCACTGTCGCTCTTCGCTGGACTCTCTCGAGTAGCTCTCTGTCCCCCTTGAAATGGGGAGCCCAGAACTGGACACAACACTCCAGGTGAGGTCTCACCAGGGCAGAGCAGAGGGGCAGGAGAACCTCCCTTGTTCTGCTGGACACACTTTTCTTAATGCACCCCAGGATCCCATTGGCCTTCCTGGCCACAAGGGCACACTGCTGTCCCATGGACAACTTCTTGTCCACCAGGACTCCAAGGTCCCTCTCCACGGGGCTGCTCTCTAGGAGATCTCCTAACCTGTACTGATGCATTTTATTACTCCTGCCCAGGTGCAGGACTCTGCACTTATTCTTGTTGAACCTCGTGAGGTTCCTCTTGGCCCAGCTCTCCAGTCTGTCCAAATCTCACTGAATGGCCCCACAGCCTTCAGGACTATCAGCCAAACCTCCCAGCTTCGTGTCATCAGCAAACTTGCTGAGCAGACACTCTATACCATTATCGAGGTTGTTAATGAAGATGTTGAACAGGACTGAACCCAGCAGTGAACACTCCTATGAATAAACTATGTAACAAAGGTGACTTCACATTTTAAGTCACTGGTAATTTTGTTTTTGGAAATGTTTCAAATCCAGGGACAATGTTTTTGAAACTTTTAAAAACTAATTTATCTTCCTTTTACTTTTAACCCAGTAAAAATTTGCTTTTGTGCTTTTTTTTCTTGGTTTATGTACACCACTTGGTCTCTTCATGTGATAAGAAATTTTGTACAAAAAATGGAGACTGTAAGATGAATTCTCTTTATGTAATTTAAATAACTAGGAGGATCTAGTACAAATGAAAATTTGCTTGAAAAATTTTGCTAAATCTGAATATTGTGTATGTTATATCTCATTTTAATAGGTGCTTTTATTAATTTATGCCAGAATTAAATAGTTTAAACACATTTTTTGTACTATAATCCATACATTGCATTTCTTTCTTCCTCATCTTCTGTAATGAAAGCTTGAGCAGGAATTGGAGCAGTCCCGGAAACAGTTGAGTGAATCAGAAGGCAGTAGAGAAGCACTTTTGCATCAGGTAACTGCTATGGTGTGGTGAAAATCCTAAAGTTTTCATATTAGAGTGTGTCTGAGTCTTTTTACTTAATGTTCCTGTCTCGTACTGTGATAACATTGTTTTGGGAAGAGAAAAAGGAGATTCAGAAAGACAGGTTTAAGAGCTAAAATGAGCTTTTGTTATACTTTTTCTAATTTCCAAATTTTATGTATATGTTCATATATATTAGTAATGATAGTAGTTATGATGCTTTTAAAGTACATTATTTGTAAGTGCCTTTCACAGTATGCTTTAGAACAACTTCTGTCTTGGTCAGCGTCGTTATGCAGAGTGGGTACTGTAACTGGTGAATTCAGATAAACCAGTGACCGAGAAGTAGTCCATGTACTATATACTAACGTGGTTAAAAGACATAAAACCCAAACACCTGAAAGACTGTCTAAAGTGTGCTCTAAACAATACTTCTCACTGCACATATGACTAAATTTAGAAGTTGCAGGATCCTGGATTATAGCTTTAGAAGTGTGTCCTTTCTTCTAAACATTCCTAATCCTTCCTTCTTTCTGAGGAGCTGGGAAAAAAGATTGGAATAAGTAGGAAGGGGGCAATTGGCATGTTTATCTGTTGTTATTACTTTTATCTTATTAGTTTTAACTTACCTAGGAGAAGTTTGAGTTGGCTGTATTACTCTTTTGAATTGAACTCACTTTGCATGGAATATGGTGCTGTATCACATATGGGTAATATGAGTTAGAGCTATTTTCCTTCAATTCAGTTTTAGCATGTCGTATTTTCTTTATTTTCCTGTAAACAATGCCATCTTTCTAAGTGCTAGGCTGTATATGATAGAAAGAAAAAAAATGTAAGAAGCCCCTATGTTTCTTAAGGATAAGTACATTGTATTTTTAAAGAGTGGAATTTAATGAAAATATTTTGCTTATTAAATTCGTATAGATATTTTAACTAGCAATGTAAAAAGACAAATTGCAACTTATTAAATGGTAGTGTTTTATTTGGTCTAGAGAAATTAATGCTTATCTGTGGTTAACATAAACTAAAATGTTTCCTTTAGTTTTGAATAGTCACTTTTTGGCCTAAAATTAGGAAGTAATTTGTCTTTTTGTTTACCATCTGCAGTGCTCTTTAAGATTTATAAGCGTTATTTGTGTATAGTCCTCTGTTTTTTGTAGTGTTTAATAAATGTATGCTACTTACTCTTTCATTCTGGTTTTCATGAAGCATGTGCTACTTGTCCGTGCGTTTTAGATTGAGGATCTTCGTTCCCGACTCTGGAGAGCAGAGGAGGACCGCGTGGAGCTGCAACAGCGAATCTCCCATGGCGCTAGGCACCGCCACAGCCACCAGGACGCACAAGCTGATGACAGGGGAATTAGAACAGGTACAACTCTCAAATTTTGCACTAGAGGCCTGCAGAGTAGTTAGCCTGGGCATAAATTCTGTCTTTGAGTTTCAGTCCAATTCTTCTACTGTCTCAACAAAAATAGCCATTTAATGTCTCAACTTTAAGTTATTAAGTACTGGCACCTGGATATTAGCAAATAAATAGCAGCAAGAGTTAAAATTTAGGATAAAATACCATGGTTTGCATGGTTAAAACAAATGAACAGTATTAGAGAGGATTTCAGTGAAGTGGATAGTGTTTTTAGAGAAGAAAAACATTAGAAATATTTTAAAATTACTTTTCTGAAATGTTACATTCCAATCCCTTTACAGTTTAAATTCTGGTATCTTGAAAATAATAGCAAAAGTAATTTACATAGGTGGTCTGTAAGACTGATGATTTTCTGGTAGAATTTCTAAGGGGTAATAGCATGTTCCAGAGTTGTAAAGAAAATACAGTATGATGCAGTCAGGGCTTCTGTTTGCAGTACATTGAAATTTTAGAGCTAGAACAGTAATATTTAGAAAAAAATTTCTTTAAGCGATTTCAAAAGGTAATCACATATTGAACTACCATTTCAGCAAGATCTTTGCTACATTGTTAATTATTTATCTATATTTAAACTTTTCAAACGTAAAGGCTTTCTCTACTGCCTTTTTGATTATCTTTCTCCTTATTAACACAGGAATCGTAGAATAGTTTGGTTTGGCTTGGGAGGGATCATCTAGCTGAAAGATCATCTAGTTCCAACCCCTGTCATAGGCAGGGGCACTTCCCACTAGACCAGGTTGCTCAAAGCCCCATCTAGGCTGGTCTTGAACACTTCCAGTGCTGGAGCATCCACAACTTTCCTGGGCAACCTGTTCCAAGTATCTCTCCACTCTCACAGTGAAGAACTTCTTCCTAATTTCTAAGGATAAAAGAGGAATAGTGACTCCAAGTCCTGTGTCTCTATGAATGTTTAATTGGTTTATTTAATGACTTATTTTTATATTTTCATGCTTCAGCTATTGACTTATGTTGATTATTAAAGTAGGACTCTGACTCTGTTTTACACATCTCATACAGAGCACTGGATAACTAGCTTCGGTACATGGCTTAGTTTCAAAAATGTAACACAAAACCGTTACTGAACAGTTTTTCTTCAGTTATGTTATTGTGTCTACTTAAAATGAATTTGTTTGAAACAAAATGCCTTTCATGTTAATGAAAATGTATTTTATTTTTTCCAGTTTTGCAATTGTAAATCTAAATTGTTGTAAAAATATAAAAAAAAATAAAAAATTTACTGGAGCTATTAAGATATAAACATATATTTGTATAATTTATTTAGTCGTGTTTCTCCTTTTCATGTTCTGATTCTTCAAAAATGCATGGGAAGAATACAAATGGAGATTTTATTTGTCTCTAGTGGTTGTTTATAACTAAAGACGTTTGAATTTCTGGTTGATGAAATTTACTGCTTACTCTCAACAAGGACTTCTATTGTACTTCTAGAATTTGGATATAAAATTCGCAGATAGTGTGACTTTCAAATCAGGAAGTATTACTCTGGGGTAAAATCTTGAAGTTTGTGGTCAAGTTTCATTTACTCTAGAACTTCCCCACTGTTTCTTCTGTCCTCTTTTATTTTATTGGTTTTTGTTTGTTTGGGGTTTGGATGGGGCAAGGGAAGAGGAGAAAACCTGTATAAAAACCCTAAAATGCGTAGATGAAAATACTGTAAAAGTGAACAATACTGTAAAAGTATTACAGAAATGCTGTAAAAGTAATTCAGTAAAAGATATACAGGGATACAGGTTGCTACACAGGTATAGCCATTTTTCACAGATACCTTGATCAAAATCAAAGAGTTGAAGAATAGTCTCAAGTAGAGAAGAAAATTGCTAAAAGACAAATGAGAAAAAAAATATTTTGCCCCAAGTCAGTGTTTCTACTGGGCCTGTTGTTGTGTACTCACTATTTTATAGTTGCTGAAAGATACGAGAGAGAGAAGCAAGAACTGGAGAAACATATTTTGGAGCTTAAGGCAAAGCTGAGTCATGATGCTGTCGTGTCAGAGATAGAAGAACTGAAGAGATGCATAGAGCGTAAGGACAAGGAGAAAGCACAGCTTGTAACACACATACAGGTAAGGGGGGGTGGTGTTGTTGGTTTTGTTTGTTTCAATAATTTCCTGTACGTTTAAGATAAGTGATATGCCAGATTAGGGAGTAGACTTTGAAGAAGAAAAGCAACTGTTCTTTAGTTTATTCCGTAAATAACTTTGAAAAGTGATCCAAATTTGCAGAGGTTTTTAGCTTCCCTCTTGTTAGTAAACCGAAAAAGGTATTTACTATTGCCCATGAATTCATAGTTTGGGTTACCTCTCCTTATGTGCATAGAAAAGTTAATCTGATTTTATCAGCAATTACCATTAATAATGGTTTCTGGAATTACTTCTATAAATTAGTATTTACTTCCTTCTTTCCAATTCCATCGTTCTTCGGAACTTTAACTTTCAGAAGTTTAACTTTAAACAAACTGGGAAACCTTGTTCTATGAGTGCAGTAGAGTAACAAAAATAGGTCATAACTGTTCTTTTTTTAGCAACTAGCGTAATATAATAATTATATCCATAAGTATTAGTAGTTTTGTTTGTGCTAAACACACGCTGTTTGAAGTGATTCTGTGTGAAAAGAGTAACAGCAGTGTCTAACAGGGGAATTTCAATTAGAAGACTCTTACCTTGAACGTGAAATGACATGTAAGGAGCCAGTAGCCTTTTTATTTAAGACAAAAGATTTCTGTATTTTGGGGTCTTGTCTAGATTTAACATTGGTGGTAAGCTCTCTACACGGTAACTTTTCTATTATCTTTCATGACTGCCAGGGTAAATGAGGTTAGTTTCAAAACCCTGTGTGGGATTTCGGCAGTCATGTACTTAACATTCATTGTACTTGTATTGGGTCATTCAATAAGTCAGGGTTTTTGTATTTTATTCATTTTTTAATTCATTTTTCTAATGAAGGCACTTTTGCTTGAAACGATACATCACTTCAGAAATTCAAAAGCAGGAATTACGGGTTTTTTGTCTTTTCATAGATTTACAAGACTATACTGTTCAGTTTACTTCTGCTGCTCTTTTCCCTTGTCAACTTCTGTGCTGATTTAAGTCAAACTGATATATCAAATTACATTTCGAAAAAAAGGAAGTCTCAAAATGTGTTCCTACATGCTTTATAAAAATTCATCATTAACCGGTTTTAAAAAGAGCTAAAGTACTCCTATAGAGAGTAAGGCAAAAAGAACTCATTTCCTGATGCCCATCAACATTTGTGTTCTAGCTGGCCAATACAGCTTCAGACTAACCCAATGCATGCTGTGTTTTTGTTTTCTGGGGTCTGAGAAATCCCAGTTACTTCAGTGGCAGGAGTTAATTGGATAAAACCCCATAGAAACCCAATTCTTTTAAACTCCTGGTTGTAGCACATGCTTTCTTGAGTATTGGAGTGATGTTCTAATACTAATTTCCTGCTCTGTGAAAATACTGATGGAGGAGTGCTCAGCCAGGGTCATTGTAATTGCTCTGAGTTAGAAATCTTTGACTTCCCTGATTATCTCAACAGAAAATACTTTGTACTTCTTATCTGCTTCCCACTGCCATTCTCCTACAGAGGCAGTAACAGGAAAATAGCTAGTGTGTTTTTTGTTTTAATGAGACATCAAGGAGTGCAAGGATGTGAATTTCTAAACTTATGTACTAACAAAGCATTTTGTCAAGCCTGTTCTAACAGCTGCTCCTGTCAGATAGTCATATTCCCAGTTGGAATTGACCAGTGATGTTTGACTTGGGTATAATTTATCTTTGGTTAGTGGGGAGGATATAACTGCACTTGCCTCTGGTGTACATGTGATGTTAGAAATTTCTTTTGATTTATTTAAATGTTATTGTTTTCAACAATTTGAGTTGTGTACATCTAGTCCCTGACAGTTGCCATAAACTCACAATATTATGTAAAATGGAGAGGATGAAAATGATTGTCATCACATTCTTAAACTCATGTTTGGAAGTGAGTTCCATCTTCAATGAATTTTTAAATTTAATAGAGCAAATGTTGGCCTCAGTTGCTGTAGTTTACCTGAGGATGCTTCTGTAAGATCTTATAAATATATGCAACTACCTTAAGTATATTTTTCTGCATGGAACTATATGGATATGGGGCTATTCCGGCTGACTATTATGACCTGACTATTATGTCTAAGAAATAAACAAAGTAGATGAACCATGAAGATCATAGAATCATAGAATGTCTGGGCTGGAAGGGACCTCCAAAGGTCATCTAGAGTGTTAATCTATAAAACCAGCATTTCTCATCTGCATAGTAATGTTTTTTTGAATCACAGGTACTTAGTAATTTGCTGCTTGAAAGAGAAACTCGGATGTTCAAAGAGTGTGATTTTTATTTTTTTTTTCTCCTCCTGATATTGCTTGTTCTTTCTCTTAGATTGTCACTCTTGTTTGCTACAGTCGCAACTGAGGAGAAAATTGGATGAATATTAAAGAAACAAAACAAACAAACAAAAAAACCACCAAAAAACCCCCAAAAAACCCAACAAAACAAAACAAACCAACAAAGCAAAAAACAAGCCCCACATATTCCTGCCTCATAGAAATCCTTAAAATAGTTGCATTCCGAGTAATGCAGAAGTGTATTTCCAAGATAGGAATGTGAAAATTAGTGTATATTCTGCCAGGTCTAAAGTAAGCATCACTCTGCCAAATCCTTCTGCCACAGTAAAAGGGCCCAGCCTGCAAGGCTCAGGAGACAGCTGTAACTAGTGGGATGCTTGCCCATATGTGCACCAACATGATTGTGACATTTGAGCTCATTGTCTAGGCTTCAGTAATACAGAACTGAAGAGGATATCTTCAGACACTTTTTATTTGACATGGGCCTGCTGACTTTAAGCACAAAGTTTAAAAGTGTTCCCAAAACAAAGATGGAGACTGAGATTGGTGAATCCAACTTCTCAAGCATTAAGAGGCCTCTGCACACTGTAAATCTAAACAGACTTTGGAGCTGGATTGAGGTGTAGTCTGTAGTAAGGACTGATATTTCTCTTTGACCAATTCCTTCAAATCCCACAACTTTGGAGGCTGAGAGCAAGCTTAAGTTTGCTGTGTTAGGTTTTAAATTTACTTTTTAGTGGCACTTCCTTTATCTTCTGTAAGCTACAGCATCCTAATGAAGGGCAACTCTTTTTCCACAGGTAACACAGTATTTCAGCCTTGATGCTAATGAAAAAAAACAAACCAACATCCCAACAACAATAACAAAATATCCTGAAAACCATGTGGTACAACACTTGACTACAATACCAAAATATATCCTCGGTGTCTGACCCAGCCGCTATCTGAGTTTCAGCCTGTGCTGAGCTTGTACTTAGTACTGCTCTGGCCACAGCTGCAGTGGAATGTGCATACAATCAGCTTTGCAAAGGAAGCAATTAAGCTATGCACCTTACATTAACGATAACACTTTATGATGTATTGTCTGCATGCGTATTTAATGCCTCTTGCAACTGAGATTCTGTGGCTGAGGGAAAAATGAGGCCTAAAAGGCTGAAGGAGAACTGAGGGTTCAGATTCCTAGAGATGTCAGTGTACAAATGATATAAAATATGATGGGGAAACAGGAGTATCTACTTACCCAGGTGTTGTTGTCCTAATATTCAAGACTGACCGTATGTGCATCCATAATGGGTTGGAGGTATAAGCATTCTATGCAAGATACTGTGTTACTTTAAGGGGAAATAGGTGGCTCTCAAGACTAAAGGTCTTGACAAACGTAGGAAGAGTAAGCACATGGTATTTACTTTATTAAAATTTAATATATTAAATCTAATGGTTTTCTGGAAATATGCTTAAGTTGAAAAATGTGATTCTGTGCATCTAGGTTAATTATAAGTTATTTTTAATTGTAGAGATTGTTTAGAAAGAAATTAAAATCTTAATTTATAAGATCATCTTTATGAAATGGAATCACAGCCCACCAGTGCCAAGTACAGTGTTCTTGAAAGACAAGAGTAATTTGCATAATCATTTCTTACTATCAAAACGATCTTAATTCTTATAAAATCAAAATTAAGCATTAAAAATATATAGTAGTGTAAGTTGCTTAACAGAGCTTTCTTTCCTGTATTAACTATTTAATATCTGCTGATAGTACAATTCCACAAAAATTAATAACCAGTTGTTTTTTGAGCAGTGTTTGTCTGAAAGGGGTATCATATTTAGCAAGGTATGCTCTACTGACCCTGGTGATTGTTGTTTCCAATCATTAAATAAAAACTGCCCTTTAAGATTGTTCTGATGACCTCTAGCTGTTCATTATTGTAAAGGGTTGCTTCAGATCAACCACAAT